CTTATTTTTAGAATCCGGATAACCCAGCATTTTCATATCCCAGGCAAGTCATAACTGATCTTTTTATCACATTAAATGCCGTGCTGTGATGACGATGTCGTTTCATGCAATTTTGTATTTTGTTCATTTAAATTTGAATTAAGGATATTTTATTTTTAATATTCATATTCTGACCACGTTTGAATTTTATCAGCTAATATCACCACTGAGCTGATAAGGGAAGGCTTCGACCCATATTTGTGGTATAAAATCTAGGCAAAATATTGTCCTTTATTCAACAATATACGGCCATTTTAATGAAATAGTGACATTGACTGCAACTCGTCTTAGCAGGCCCGGAACACAGTTGTATGTGAACAACATCTTGACTTGCAATGGAAGAATCTTGTGTGTTGCAGAAGTAAGATATTGTTATACTGTCATTTTCAAACCTAAATTTTGTTTTCATCAGGTAGAATTGCGTTTAATACCTAACTAGCCTCATCAACTATACAACCAAAATTGTGTTTATCAACATTTTCGTTTGCATTTTTAAAAAGAATTTTGTCAGAATGCGTCACTTATTAAAGGTGGAATATGGACGAGAACATATAATTGTTAATTTGTTGTTTGGCTGTTTTCCCCACATACAATAACAATCAATGCACATGCGCATTAGTGTTTTTCATCCAACTAACACAGATGTGTGTCCTACAAAGTTAACGCAACATTTGTTGTTTAAAATAAATCATAATCAGATTCGCTCTACAGTAAGGTATACCAATCAATAATATTAAAATATTATGTTTTTGTCAATAATCCATCTTCAAAATTATGTATATATATAGTACGATTAATAGTATTCAATAAAGTGGATAATCAATAATGGTTTTGCGATACAAAATGTATTTCTATATATTTTGAAATACGTACCCTTCCATCTTGGTCCTTTATAGTATATACTGTGTTCCGATACACTCTTTTTTTCACTCCACCTCTTTCCATAAACAATGGGGGTAATACGTCTTCTTCTTCGTCATCTACATAGATCATCTGCTTTCTATCGTCACAGATCTCACCCACCATAAATCCAGTTTTAGGAATAAGTGCAAATACTTTAGGCAAGAGTTCTCCACCAATGAATAAATTACTCCATTTCTCTGATTCATTTATCTGGTTGATCAATTCTATAATTCAAATGAAATTATAAGTATAGATTAGAACAATTGGTTCTTCTTTTTAATATAGAAAATCGATATTTATGATGATCTAAAACTATAATATGGTGATACGTATGATCTAATTCATTCCCCTGTGAGTTCCATGCACGATTCTAATCCGCACCAACGCCCGATTCAAAAAATAAAAAAAACAAGAACACTATAGTGAATTACATAATGCGAACGATATTTTTTTTCCTCAGAAACTTTTTCAATAACACCAATATTTTTTTTTCAGAAATATAGGTTTGTCTTTCGATTTGATATGAATATAAACACTTCGGTAATGTGATCTTCGTCGTACATCACATCTATTTCATATCCATAGTTTTATAAATCCTTGGAAAAAATACCTTTCTTTAGTACGTTACGCACTCTCTGTCGCCGAAGCGCTTATATTAATTAAATGGGTGACGCGAAGGCCGTTAAAATCGTCGATGTCGTTCTCATCTGTTGTCCTCAAAGAATGAAGAATATATTTTATTATATTCTAGATGACGAATGACTACACAACCAATCACAGATGTCGACGACATTGTCTTCATTCATATACCTCACTTTGACGTCTCATAAGCGATTTATAGGAAAGATGTATATTCCATATCGAACACAATTAAAGACATTTGCCACTCGTGCTCTGTTATCCGCTATTATCTATCAGTCTATAAATGATTACTTTTATAAGTAACTCCATTACCTGGCAAAACAATCTTCAAGTACCCAAAATAGTAGGACCACGCAAGACCATGTGCAACACTCTGAGAGCTACGTTCACCAAGTTCACTGCGTTCAACTTCAGACAACTCCTAAGTGTAGTGACAGAAAATAAAGATAAAATCATATTATCATAATGCATCGTTACCAACTTACAATTAGTATGCAAATTCAAGTATATGAACCTAATGGCACTTGTCCATATTATAATAGCATATAGATATTCAACTTTTCCAAAACCGCAAAGTTAGTATTTTTCAAATGCATAAATTTAAAATCGCTCAACAGTTTCATACGAAGTAATAATTGATACCGACGAAACTTGTAAAAACACCCCCAAAGGCTATGGTATATATCCAAAACTATAATACTAATTAGTCCTTTTAAACTAAATATTGTGATAACATTTTCATTCTATTTAATAGAGTCGAAATACCCACGGGTGACTCAAGTGCTAAATACATATATCTGATTTAAAGTCCTTCAGAAAATGAAACAACACGAATAGAGACCTTATACACAAAATGGACACCGAGATCTCGCTGAGAGCGAGAACCTCTACTTGTTTTGTTGCGCTTTGTGTAATAGTACATGTATCTCTGCCACAGGCAGCCTTCAATTTTGTGGTCAATCATCTCAGGCTCATTATATGCTATGCACGTTCATTTTCAGTTGTTGTTTTACATGAAAACGTACTGTAAAACGTAAAATAAATTGTTTGCCAAACAGAACTATTTATTAAGTGTTTTACTTCTTTAAAAATGTTAACAGAAACAATTTTATCAAGAACTACATTGTGCAAAACTACTGGAGTGAAATGCCGTTTTTGCGACTACTGTTGCAAATACCATGATACGCTAATTAATGAAGCACTAATTGAGAGTCAGCAACAAGTCATTCGTCTCTCTCGCTCTCAACGAGATATAGTCCTTCTCGCTTTCAACGAGACCTTAGCGGTCGTTTGCGAACAAAGTCTATAGTGAAATAGGCTCACTTACATTGAGGTTAATCAGGTCAAATACTAGCGGAATCACAGAAATAGCGGCAAAAATATTAAGTGTATTGATATTGACCATAAATAAGTTCATATCATTGATGCATAATACCACCCCTATACACACGAACACAAGTAAGCCTACATCATCTTTTCGATTATCTATCGCATTCAACATCCTAGACCAATTCCCATGGTAACGTGTATTCAGATGATGTTTCTCTTCAAATATCAGGCATGAGCGGCGTATCATTCTGCCAACAAGTATGGCAGCACAGGAAACGATGAACGTATAGAATAAAGATTTGATGGACTTCAGACATGGTTCATCCGATGTTACGCAACAAAGGAAAGACACGATTACTGGAAAGATGGTTATAATTCCAACACTTGGCAAGGTGTATCGTCTTTGTCTTGCTTGTGGGACTTCACCAAAATCTTCCGGATTATTTTCGGCCATTCTATCGAAAAAAACACACAAAACGTGAAGTAAAGTATTATGTTAAAACGCTTGTTTTGCAGCCTCGGCAACGCAGCTGTATTTAACATTTCAACGAAAAGCCCATAAACGCCGAGTATATCATAATAATTCAAATAATAACAATTTAAATTGATGGAGTAATTAAATATGTATTGTTTGTGTTTGTGTTCGAGAGTTCGCCCTGCTACGAACACGCATGGCAGTACTAACAATCTGAAGGAACTCTGCACCCGCCACATACTAAAATGTACGTGAGGGAGGGTGGGGGGCTTTCACCTGAAACTATATATCAATATACTATGGTAGATAACAATGCCGTGCCTTATGCAGTCCTGTGTGAATTCAATAATGAAATACAGAGCAACCAATAACATGCTGCTACCGCCGGCACAGCAACGCGTACACTGACATGTACCATAGCAATTACGTAAGATGCCACCAAGGTATGATGATACGCCCTCTTGGGACCGGTAAGATATCAATCCCCACATAACGGAGGAGATGTCACTATTGCAGTCTTACCTCACCGCGGTTCCGCCATTAGGTGATTTTCCGTTCAACTGCGAGGTCTCGCGAGTTGCGTGAAAGACGTGGGCCGAACATCTGCTGCAAAATCGAACGATTTTTTTGCATCGAATTTCGTAGCTCACATCACAGTCCCTCAACACCGGTGTTGAGGGAATGTGCTCACATCAAAAGGCCGATCTTTGACAGGGGAACATTACGTTTGAATATCCTTACTTCATCGAAATTGACAATCATCAAATGTATACATTCACAAAAGCTTTTCACATGTCACACAGCTATCATATATTCACATCGCCCAATACTAACTGATTTCAATATAGTTTAGTTAATTTGTAGGTTTTCAGTTTTAGTATCTCATGATCTACTAAGTCAAACGCTTTATGCAGATTCAGAAAGGCAACACAATCACTCTCATTCAAAGTTACACTATGAATTAATGAGATATGCCAACGACATATTGCAAAAATGATAATTAAGTTACTCAATGCAAATATCACGTGGATACTCACCGTTGTGTTTAATACAGAACACATACACTGTATTTTTTAGAATGTCATAGGCTTCAAACTATATTTTGCCAACATTACAAAATTTAATTTCACAAAGTGGAAATGGTACCTTGATCATCCATGGAAGGTACTAGTACCTTCCATGGATCATCAGAGTTTGAAGAATACATTAGGACAATATTTAACAAGCAGCCTCTCGACTGAGATAGCTCCGCTGTTAACAATGTACATTTCAATTAAAGATATCATTAGAAAATGAACACGTCTGAGAGAGGTCTACCTGAGATACATATATGTATAATATGAAAGCAATCGGACTTGCGGTTTTTAACAAGAAGTCGATAATATCGCTTTTTACCAAATATTTCAAAAATATTCATAAAAATTTGAGAATTGAATATATCATTATGAAATGAACAAATCTAAGAGAGGTACCCAAGGTACATATACACTAAGTATCAAAGCAATGAGGCTTGTAGTTGTCAAGAAGAAGTCGAAAAAGTAAAAAGTTAACGCGGAAGACGACGGACAATCACTCATATGATAAGCTCCGAGATCTTTGCAAATAGTGGTCTCATGACGAATGACAATTGTTTTCATTGCAGACGACTTTACAAAAAATATTTAAAAATAAAAAAAATGAGGCTAAATATTGACGAAACGACCACACGTAAAAAATAATTTATCTCATTTCAATCATCATGGGCGAGTTATAGCAACTGAGTAACACAGATTGTTTTTACTGTGGCTAAATAAGAAACAAAATGGCAACATAAATATAAAACTTACTTTTGCATGGCCGTGGCATAATAGTCTTTTAGCGACGCAACGAATCGAGTTCCACAATCATGATCAATAAAAACGAAATCGAAATCTGTCGATAGCGATGCCGCATGGTTCTTAAATGTAAACCACGGTTACTAAAAAAGACGGTTAGGAAACGCCGTTGTTAAAAGATGTGAATCTGCCTAATCCCTCAAGGATGCGTGTCGCGCTGTGTACGCCCTCTATTGCTTGAGATTTCAAGGTCCACCATTTTGTTTCATTTTTGTGTGATGTTCCGCAAATTTGAAATTTTAAGCTCGTTTTCGATAGAATATCCACGTTTAGTGAACAAGCTCTACGAAGAACCACACGTACATTTCGGATGAGTACTCTTTGTGACTGTGAAAACATTCAGAATCGAGAATCGTCATTTATCTTTTTCACTGTTGTCATGAGAGTAAGCTTGGATCCCGGTAGAAAAGTGACAAAAATTCTAACCCCTAAGTCACTATTATAAAATACTTTAGGCCACACTGATTTAATTTTATGGATGACATCCTCTGGAGACCCCAAAACTAATGCGAGAGGGCGAAAAAAAAAATCCTGCCAAAAAAAAAAATCCTGCTAAAAGCACAGGACTACGGAGCTGCTATTACGAATTGGACCACAGAACACAATGTATCAAAGAA